GATTGTTGTGTCTTCCTGACACAACAACCTTTTTATCATTATAAAAGGTTCCCATTTGATCTCTGGTGATGTTCTTTGTCTTGAAGTCTGTTTTATCACTTCATTCTCCTCATGTTATTCACTATATGATATATCATTTTTCAACCATTTACTTTCAACTTACCTGGGTCTTTAAAACTGATAGATGTCTTCTGTAACCAGTGTAGTGTTGCGACTTGCTTTTTTTTTTTTTATCCAGTCAGAAGTCCCTGCCTTGTAAATGGAATGTTTAGTCCATTAACATTTAATGTAATTATTGATATGGTTTAAGTCTACTATTTTATTATTTGCTTGCTTTTTATCCCATGTTTTGTTTCTTGCCTTCTTTTGGATTGTTTGAATGTTTTTTGGAATTCTATCTATTGGCCTTTTATTATTTTAATCATACCTCTTTTAATGAGTGTTTAGAGGTTGCTTAGGAAATACCGTGTACAGTTTTAACTTTTCATAGTCTACTTGAGGTTAGTATTGTATTATCTCATGTAAAATGTAGAAAATTGCAACCATTTGTCCACCCACCCTTGCAGCCAGCATGTCTTATGTTATAGCCGTCATGTGAATATCATACATCTAAATACATTAGAAACTCCATAAGACCCTTATAATTTTTGCATTAATCCATTGTGGTTATTTTAAAGAAAAAGGAAAAAAGTAGTCATTTAGTTTTACCCAAATATGTACCATTTCTGATACTCTTCATTTCTTTCTAAAGAGTGGATTTCCCTCCATTATCATTTTCCTTCAGCCTAAAGAACTTTCTTTAGCACTTCTTATAGTGCAAATCGACTGTATTGTCACTTTTTTGTTTTTATTTTTGAAACAGAGTCTAACTCTGTTGCTCAGGCTGAAGTGCAGTGGTGTGATCTTGGCTCACTGCAGCCTCAACCTCCTGGGCTCAAGCAATTCTCCCACCTAAGCCTCCCAAGTTGCTGGGACCACAGGCATGTACCTCCACACCCAGCTAATTTTTTATTTTTTGTAGAGATTGGATCTCTATATGTTGGTCAGGCTGGTCTCAAACTCCTAGGCTCAAGCAATCCTCCTGCCTCAGCCCCTCCAAAGTGCTGGGATCACAGGCTTGAGTCACTGTACCCAGCTGTTACTCTTTTTTTTTTGCAACCTCTGCCTCCCAGGTTCAAGGGATTTCTGGCTAATTTTTGTATTTTTAGTAAGACGGAGTTTCACCATGTTGGCCAGGCTGGTCTTGACCTCCTGAACTCAAGTGATCTGCCCGTGTCATCCTCCCAAAGTGCTGCAATTACAGGCATGAGCCACTGTGCCAGGCCTGTTGTCATTCTTGAAGGACGTTGCGTTTGATGTAGGTTGTTGGGCTTTTGTTTGTTCGTTTAGCACTTTTAGCGTGTTTTTCCACTGCCTTCCAGCCTACATTGTCCTTGATGAGAGGAGTTTTTTTTTTTTTTTTTGAGACAGAGTCTTGCTCTGTCGCCCAGGCTGGAGTGCAGTGACGCAATCTCAGCTCACTGCAAGCTCCACCTCCCGGGTTCACGCCATTCTGCTGCCTCAGCCTCCCAAGTAGCTGGGACTATAGGCACCCACCACCATGCCTACCTAATTTATTTTATTTTTAGTAGAGACAGGGTTTTACCATGTTAGCCAGGATAGTCTCGATCTCCTGACCTCGTGATCCACCCGCCTCAGCCTCCCAAAGTGCTGGGATTACAGGTGTGAGCCATCGCGCCCGGTGAAGAAGAGTATTCTTTCATTGTTATCCTGTATGTAATAGATGGTTTTTCTCTGGCTACTTTCAAGATTCTCTCTTTATCTTTGGTTTTCAGTAGTTTTTGAAGTTTCTGGGTGTAGTTTTCTTGGTGTTTATACTGTTTAGGCTTTGCTTAGCTTCTTCAATCTGTAAATTATGCTTTTCAACAAATTTGGTAAGTTTTCATTGCTCGGTTCAGTGACTCATTCCTGTAATCCCAGCACTTTGGGAGGCTAAGGCGGGCGGATCACTTGAGGCCAGGTGTTCAAGACCATCCTGGCCAATGTGGTGAAACCCCATCTCTACTAAAAGTACAAAAATTAGCCAGGCGTGGTGGTGCACACTTGTAATCCCAGCTACTTGGGAGGCTGAGGCAGGAGAATCGCTTGAACCCGGGAATCAGAGGTTGCAGTGAGCCGAGATTGTGCCACTGCACTCCAGCCTGGGTGACAGAGCGAGACTCCATCTCAAAACAACAACAACAAAACAAATTTGGTAAGTTTTCAGCTGTCAGTTCTCCTAATTTGTTTCTTCTGCCCCATTTTCTCTCCCCTCTCTTTCTGGGATTCCAGTTACATGGATGTTAGACCCTTTGTTATTGTCCCACAGGTTCCTGAGGCTCTATTTATTTATCTTTTCATTCTTTTTTCTCCTTTTTCTTCAGATTGAGTAATTTCTACTGCTCTGTTTTCAACTTCACTTACTCTTTCTTTTATTACTGGTTATTTAGCTAACCTAATGGAGTGTTTGTTTGTTTGTTTGAGACAGAGTCTTGCTCTTTCGCCCAGGCTGGAGTGCAGTGGGGTAATCTTAGCTCACTGCAACCTCCACCTCCCAGGTTCAAGCCATTCTCCTGCCTCAGCCTCCTGAGTAGCTGGGATTACAGGCATGCACCACTAAGCCTGGCTTATTTATTTATTTATTTTTGAGACGGAGTTTCACTGTTGTTGCCCAGGCTGGAGTACAATGGTATAATCTCGGCTCACTGCAACCTCTGCCTCCTGGGTTCAAGCAATTCTCTTGCCTCGGCCTCCCAAGTAGCTGGGATTACAGGTGTCCACCACCACACCCGGCTAATTTTTTGTATTTTTAGTAGAAACAGGTTTTACCATGTTGGCCAGGCTGGTCTTGAACTCCTGACCTCAGGTGATCCACTTGCCTTGGCCTCCCAAAGTGCTGGAATTACAGGTGTGAGCTATTGTGCCTCGCCCACGTGGCTAATTTTTGTATTTTTAGTAGAGACGGGGTTTTGCCATGTTGTCCAGGCTGGTCTTGAACTCCTGACCTCGGGTGATCCACTGCCCCCGGCGATGAAGTTTTTATTGTAGATACACTTTTTCATTTCCGGAACTTTCATTTGTTTCTTTTGTATACTTTCTGTTTCTCTGCTAAGGTCGCCTGTCTTTTCATTCATTTTAAGTGTATTTTCCTTTTCCTCATTTAGCACAGTTATAATCACCGTTTTACGTTGTCCCTGTCTCAGAGTTCCACCATCTGGGTTATTTTGAGATTGGCTATGCTGATTGTCTTTTCTGGTGAGAATTGGTCACATGTTTCCAGTTCCTTGTATGTTTAGAAATGTATCTGATGCATGGTGAGTGTTCTGTGTCCAGACTGTAGTCTGTTTTCTCCAAAGAGCAGGAATGGATTTGTTTCAGCAGGCAGTTAACTTGGTGGCACTCACAGTGCAGACACTCTCCAGCAGATGGCAGAAGCTCCAATCCCGGCTCAGTTCTTGTGGCCTCAGCTGCAGGCTGCCTTGAGTCCCCCCAGGCTTGCATGGGCAGGGACCAGTCTGAGACAGGGGGAGAGTGGATCATGAAGTTCAGGGCTTACATCTCTGCCCCTCCATCCTGATTCCCTTCCCTTTTCCCGGGAGTGGTTGTCTCTGGGCTCCATCCTCCGGTGTTCAGATTCTACCAGAATCTTAGGCACCCGCATTGTGCTCTCCTGCTGTAGCTGGCGGAGTGGAAACTCAGCCTCCTGCTGTGTTCTTCTGCCACATTCAAATTCTCCTCCAAAGTCTTCTCCCTGCCTTGTTCACTTCCCAGCCTTCAGGCCACTGCTTTTTGTATTTGTAATTTTGGGGGTATTCTGTCCAGGTCGATAGGTGCTATATGCAGGAGGATTGATCTGTTGCGATTTTACTCTGCCTGGGTTGAGTTTTAATCATTCCACTTTCCCTCCGGCCTGGCACTGGATGTTGTACTTCGACGTCAGGAAAGTCTGGTTGAATGAATGGGTGATGGACCAAATGAACTGCTTTTTACTCTTTCCTCTCTCCTTTCACTCAGCTCGACCCCTTTGAATCCAGTGATCCCTTTTCATCCTCCAGTGTCTCCTCAAAAGGATCAGGTGAGACCCATGGCTTATTTTCCTTCCTGACTATTCCTCGGGCAGTAGCAGAGCCTCCCCTCCCCACCCAGTTAACACTTTCACTCCCAAAGCCAGTGTGGCCTCTGTGTTTGTGTCATTAGTCAGTGGCACCCAGATCCTGGCCTGAGCCCATTAGGCCAAAACAAGCATCCCCTGCTGCTCCTCTTCCCAGGCACGGCACGCGCTGGCATCTTTCTGGAAGGGAATTTTCGCAGTAGGAATTCAGTAATAGCACCAGTGATATTAACTACTGTTACTCACTCCTCCTTATAAATCTTTGGTTTGTATCTTTGGGTTTTCTGCCTAAAAGAAATCCAAAATTTGACCCCAGGTACTGGCCTGTGTTGTGGGTTCTGTGTTTGAAGGAACCCCATCTCACAGTGTAGAACTCACAGATGTACGCTCGAGCCTTTACGCAATGGGAGCATCTGTGGACACCCCCTTTCTTTTGGGAACAGGCCCTGCTTGGTCCTGCAGCTTGTGCGGGGCGGATCATAGGCGAGTATATCCAGTACTCTAGGCAAATCCCTTCCAGGTCAGAGGAGAAAACACAGCAAAAACCTCTATCCAAAGACACCGCCCTGCATAAATCGTGTGGGTGGCGGGTCACCCTGAGTTGCTCCTCCCCTCCTGACCCAGTGAGACCCAGCAGGACCCAGGGGCCATGCCCCTACAGCAACTTGTCACTCTTCCGATGACCGTGAATGATGCTGGCCCTCCCAGAGCGGTCATCACAGTGAGAAACCGTCTCGCCGCGCCAGAGTGGGCAGGCAGGCCTTGCCGAGGGACCTTCATGCAGACACGCGTGTCTAATGAATAAATGCAGCCTTCCTGAGTCTCCTGGTTCAGGAGCCATCTAGCATTTTCCCTCCACCCCAGAAGGTGTGTCTCTTAAAGACCTGTAACTCTGACTTTGTTGGTGCCGATTGCAGATCCCTTTGGAACCTTAGATCCCTTCGGAAGTGGGTCCTTCAATAGTGCTGAAGGCTTTGCCGACTTCAGCCAGATGTCCAAGGTAAAGCCCTCCACGGAGCTCCCGCGCCTCTGCTAGTGTCTTTGTGCCTCTTGTCATGGTGTGGGCTGCCAGGCGTAATTGTTCATGTCACGTATGTATCTCCCCGGCACCTTTCAAATACAAGGTTAGGCCTGGAAAGCACCCACGGCTGTGATCCGATGCACTTCAGTCCCTCAGGGTGAGCCCTGACTCATCCCAGTGGCAAAGGTGCCCTGGGCTCCCCCGGCTCCCACTGGTGTCTCACGACCATCGGGTCTCAGATGGTGAAGTCATTGCCATGGCCAAGTAGAAACTCGAGAAGGCATTGGGCACAGGCGTCTCAAGAGGGCCGTGGGCAGCAGACTCGCAGGTGCAAGGCATCCGGGGAAAGCGGGCCAGCAGTGTTCGGAGCTGCCCGTGTGACAGAACTTTCGAGGGATGTTGAAAAGTGAGGGCCAGGCTCCATGAATAAATGCAGACGGATCCACAGGTGAGGAGTGAACTGTTGAAGGAGGACAGCAGCGAGACTCGTTACCAGACTGGACCCGTCTGCGTCCGGCCCTCACCACACGGTGACCTGAACTCACTGTGACTCTGGTCCCAGACAGCTGTAGGGCTTCTCCAGGGGCTGGCAGTGGGGCTGGAGCTAATCTTTAAGGTAGCATAGAGAATTCAACAGGGAACGTCCAGAATGGACAAGTCAAAAAATAATAATAGAAGCCCCTTACGACTGAGGTGCCTTCCAGAAGAAACTGCTGGAAAGTTGGAAATGGGGGCCATGGTGAGTGGGAAAGAGGCTGGGGCTGAGGCACTACTGTGCTTCCTTGTGAATTGTATATCTCCCTGTTTGAGCCAGGAGCGTGTTTCTTTGGCAGGAATGAAGAAAAGCAGGTGAGGTGTGCCCCGTCCCTGACACCTGCATCCACTCTGTCCCTTCTTGGTACTCCCCAGGCAGGGGTGGATGGGCTCTGTCCTCGGGGGGCTGCAGGGGCCTGCTTTCCTCACGCGTTCCACCTGCAGAGGCCCAGGCATCGTCCACGCTGCGGGAAGAGGCAGTGGCCACAAGCAGAACACAGCCCCCTTCCTAGACCCCATGGCCCAGGTGGTAAGGGGTGGCCAGTGGGGGGGTCCCCTGGAGCAGCTGGGCCCCGTGTCTGTGGGTGCTGCTATCAGCCTGAAGGTGGTGAGGGGAGGGAGCCCCAGGAGTACCTGGAAGATGCATGCCCCAGGCATGAGGCCCCCTGGGGCTCCCCACCCCGCCGGCCCCATGCCCGGGTGCCCCAGGTGCCAGTGTGACTCGGCTGCCCCGCGTTCACTCAGCTGGTGGAGCAAACAAGTCTCTGGGCATCTTGTGGTTGGCAGCGGTCGCAACTTGTGATCACAGAACACAGATTCCGAGAAGCACTTGAGATTCTGTTCAGGTTTTCAAAGACGCGTGTGTGAGTGCCCTGGCGACGCAGCAAATCCCACTTCTGACCGAGGTAGGGTGTGTGTTTATACAGATGAGCCTGGGCAGAGGGAGCCCAGAGGCCCTGGTGTGGCGCCCCCTCCTTCCAGCACACGGAGAAGGCCTCCATCCCTTACATGCCACGCTGTGACATGGTTTGGGACTGGCCAGGAGGGCACCAGGGGAAGGAGATTTAGGGGCCGCTGCACAGGCTCCTGGGCAGGCGGGAAACCATCTCCCGAAAGCAGAAAACGTTGGCCACACGGTGGCAGCAGTCCCTAAGGCAGGGGTCCTGGTCGTTTCTGGTTGTCGCATATGGACTCCTCTTCCTTTGGGAGGCTGGCTCTGGCTTCCTCCTCTCACTGTGAGTGGAGAGCGGGGAGCTAGCAGAACCTGGACTAGGGCCGGGGTCTAATGACCGCCCTCTGCCTGTCCTTGGGCCCTGAAACCAGGGGCTCTTCACACACATGCAGCTGTGATTTCAGAGCTGGTCTCACTTCCTATTGGCGGTGCCAGGCTAGGACAGAGTTGGACGGAGCTGTGGAAAATGGGTCTCCAATACTATCTTGTTTTGATTCCACCGTTCCGTCAGCTGCCTTCATGACACTTGTACAGCCACATTCTGAGCTCAACCCTGACCTTGTAACTCGGTTTTTCCTTTTTGGTTACCTTTCTGTTTTTCAAGAACAACATTGTGGATATAAATAAAATGCTAAGGGAAACGAAAGTGGCAAGAAGGTGTTTTTTTTTTTTTTAAAAAAAAAAACAAACCATCATCAACTTTTCCCCATCTGAGCAGGGCGGAGAGGCCCTTTTGTAAGTCCCTGAATTGAAGCACCTTACCTCTGTGTGGCTTTGCTGAGGAGAGTCACAGCCCAGAGTCTAATTCTAGAAGTTTACTTTGGGAGGCTCTTCGGGCCTGCACTCTTAGTTGAGGCCCCACCCTCACCTGAAGAGATTTTTCTAGACAGTGTCAAACCTACGTGACATCAGCTCGCTTTAAAAACAGACTCCCCAAAGTATGTTTTCAGGGAGCATTTGAGAATAAAAACAAGAGTCCAACTTATTTCACCCTCCCCTGCCCTGAAAAAAAAAAAAAAAAAAAGCCATCTGTGAAATATTGGGTTAGTCGTCAGCCCATTTTTAGCAACTTCTCAATCGTTTAAAGCTGTGCGTTGATGTTTAGGGCTGCTGTTTAAAAATTCAGTCTTTTGTTTTGAAGCAGTTCTTCAACTGGTGAACTCAAACGTGTGTTTCTCTTAGAGCTGGTTTTCATAGTAGCTTTTTCTGTCTTCCTTTTATTTTAAGCACACTTCACTCTTGCCGAGCCCAGAGAGCCCCTGACAGCTTTACTGAAACCTTTCTAAAAATAGCAACTTTCCTTGAAGCCGCTGCCTGAGTAGGAAAGAGTGGAGTCCCCAAGGAGGCTTCTTGGGAAACTTGAAGTCATGAAAATTGGGATTCGGAAATGACGCGGGCGTTCTGGCGCTAGGAGTGATCTGATTCACTGTGGAGGCAGTGCCAGGCGTTTATTGGAAGCCTGTCGCCTCGCAAGTTGCCGATTGGCCTCGTGGGTTTAAACACACATGGGAGGCACCAAGCCGGCTTGGCCCGAGGTGTCCCCAGTCAGCCTTGAGGGTCAGGCGGCTCTGATTTGAGTGTGTCACCAGGTCTTACAACTTTGGATGTCCAGGCTGAGTGTGGTTTTACTTGCCCGGGTCTTACTACATGACGCAGAGGGTGGAAAGGCTCACTGCAGCCACTGGGACCGAGGTTCCACTCCGAGTTTGGAGATGTGGCCCAGAAGCCAGCACACGTCTAGGGAGGACAAGGCCCAGCCGATCACACCACTTCCCATCTAGACTTGCTCGCCTGCCCATCCCAGGCTGCGGGGGACTTGCATGGGTCCTAGGCCCAGGGATGTGTTCCGTGAATGGCAGAAGCACCCACAGACGGGCCAGTGTTCTTTCCCCGATTCTTACCCAAACAGCCGATCCTAAATGGCCCATTTTAAAGCTAAGCCGCAAGCCGACCCTGCCCCTCGTGTCTCGGACAGGCCTGGGGACAGCTGGGGCAGTAGGTGGGGCATTCCCAGATTCCAGTCGCGGCTTCATACTTGGTGTGATCATTATCGTGTAGTCCATGTGCCAACTTTACCTAGTGCCAGTGGGTGGACGGATGCCTGTCACATGTCACCTCATTTCCTTCTTGCTGGAGCCCTCCGAGCTCTGTCACTCTTGCCATTTTACAGATGAAGAAACCGAGGCACAGGGCGTTGAGTAGGTGGCAGGGTTGAGGTTCCAGCCTGGGCAGAACATTCTGCCCAGGATGAGGCCCTGGACCTACAACTGGGGTGGCCCTTGGCAGCTGAGGGCAGCGTCTGGAGGCCCCAGCCTGAGAGGCAGACGATGTGGCAGTCCCAGATCTGCTGCAGACCTGGACCTGCTGTGTGATTTGGGCAGGCTGCGCCTCCTTTGTGTGCCTCAGTTTCCTTGTGTGTAAGGCAGAGGTGCTGACTGTGGGACCCCCTGCCAGGTAACTGGGCCTATTAGGTGAGAAGATCAGCACAGAGCGAGTGTCTCCTGCCTGGGCGGCTCCAGAGGGTGGCGTGAAGCCCAGGGAAGGGATCTGGCGGGGTCGTCTGTGCAGGAGCCTTTGGGGCCCCTTCCCCTCCCTGAGGGCGTCTGTCTCTGCCCTCGTCAGGGGGACCTGGAATGGGTAGGCTGCCTCTTAGAGGGGTCACCTCCCTGTTCTGTCTCTGATGTGGCTCTGACTGGGCTGAGCAGCCTCGACTCTAGGACCACACAAGGTCCAAGGCAGCCATGTCTGTGACAGGACGTGAGCGGCCCAGAAGGATGCATCTCTCTGTAACTAGATGCTAGAGGCCTAGATGACTGCATCTCTATAACTAGCTGCCAGAGACACAGGTGGCCACGTCTCTGACTAGACTCCAGAGGCCTAAATGCCATGTCTGTGCAACTAAATGCTAGAGACCTAGAGAGTTGCATCTGTGTGACTAGACACCTGAGCCTCAGATGGCTGCATTGGTGTGACTGGAAGCTAGAGCCTCAGATAGCTGTGTCAATGTGGCAGGATGCTAGAGCCTTAGATGGCTGCATCTGTGTGACTAGACCCTGGAGCCTTAGACGGCCATGTTGGTGTGACTAGACACTAGAGCCTTAGATGGCCACGTTGGTATGACTGCACACTACAGCCTTAGACAACCACATCAGTGTGACTAGTTGCTAGAGCCTTAGACCACCACATTGATGTGACTGGACACTAAAGCCTCAGACGGTCACGTTGGTGTGACTGGATGCTAGAGCCTCAGATGGTCACATCGATGTGGCTGGAGCCTTACATGGCCCCGTCTGTATGAATAGATGTTAGAGCCTTAGATGGCTGTGTTGGTGTGACTAGATGCTAGAGGCCTAGATGGCTGCCTTTGCATGACTAGGCACTGGAGACTTAGATGGCCGCGTCTGTGTGACTAGATGCTAGAGCCTTAGACGGCCATGTCTGTGTAACTGTATGCTAGAGCCTTAGACGGCTGCATTGGTGTGACTAGATGCTGGAAGCCTAGATGGCTGCATCTACGTGACTAGACACTAGAGTCTTAGACAGCCGTGTCTGTGTGACTACACGCTAGAGCCTTAAATGACCACGTCTATGTTTTAGATGCCAGAGCCTTAGGTGGCCACGTCTGTGTGGCTAGATGCTGGAGCCTTAGATGGCTGCATTGGTGTGACTAGACACTGGAGCCTTAGATGGCCACTTTGGTGTGACTAGATGCTGGAGCCTTAGATGGCCTTATCTGTGTTACTAAACGCTAGAGCCTTAGGCAGCCACACTGGTGTGACTAGATGCTGGAGCCTTAGACGCCTGCATTGGTGTGACTAGATGCTGGAGACTTAGACGGCTGCATTGGTGTGACTAGGCACTACAGCCTTAGATGGCCACATCTGTGTGACTAGACACTGGAGCCTTAGACGGCCACATCTGTGTGACTAGACACTGGAGCTTTAGATGGCTGCACTGGTGTGACTAGATGCTGGAGCCTTAGATGGCCTTATCTGTGTTACTAGACACTAGAGCCTTAGACAGCCACACTGGTGTGACTAGATGCTGGAGCCTTAGATGCCTGCATTGGTGTGACTAGATGCTGGAGACTTAGACGGCTGCATTGGTGTGACTAGATGGTGGAGCCTTAGATGGCTGTGTCTGTGTGACGAGGTGCTGGAGCCTTAGATGGCTGCATTGGTGTGACTAGGCACTACAGCCTTAGATGGCCACATCTGTGTGACTAGACACTGGAGCCTTAGACGGCCACATCTATGTGACTAGACCCTGGAGCCTTAGACGGCCACATCTGTGTGACTAGACGCTGGAGCCTTAGATGGCTGCACTGGTGTGACTAGATGCTGGAGCCTTAGAGGGCTGCATTGGTGTGACTAGATGCTGGAGCCTTAGATGGCCACATCTGTGTGACTAGATGCTGGAGCCTTCGATGGCCACATCTGTGTGACTAGATGCTGGAGCCTTCGATGGCCACATCTGTGTGACCAGATGCTGGAGCCTTGGACAGCTGCCTTGGTGTGACCAGATGCTGTAGCCTTAGATGGCCACGTCTGTGTGACTAGACACTGGAGCCTTAGACGGCTGCGTTGGTGTGACTAGATGCTGAAGGCCTGGATGGCTGTGTCAGCATAACTAGACACTGGACCCTTAGTTGGCTGCGTCGGTGTGACTAGACATTGGAGGCAGAGGCGGCCATACCTCTAGGACCGTCTGCTGGAGGTGGTGTTAGACCTTTTCCCCCACATCTGCGATCTGTTGCATCCGGATTCTTGAGGGAAATCCTGGAAGTGTGCCTTTGTGCTCTTGACCTGTTCTCTGTCTCTAGGCCTGCCCTGCTGGGGAGAAAGTTAAAGACCCCGGGCCCCTCCCTCCATCTCTGCCCCACTCTGATCTTTCTTTTCTATGCTCTTGAAGGAACACATGATTTTTTTTTTTTTTTTTTTTGAGATGGAGTCTCGCTCTGTCGCCCAGGCTGGAGTGCCGTGGCGGGATCTCGGCTCACTGCAAGCTCCGCCTCCCAGGTTCACCCCATTCTCCTGCCTCAGCCTCTCGAGTTGCTGGGACTACAGGCGCCCACCACCTCGCCCAGCTAATTTTTTGTATTTTTAGTGGAAATGGGGTTTCACCGTGTTAGCCAGGCTGGTCTCAATCTCCTGATCTTGTGATCCACCCGCCTCGGCCTCCCAAAGTCCTGGGATTACAGGCGTGAACCACTGCGCCCAGCCAGGAACACATGACCATTTTTACCCCTATTTCTGCCCGTTCATTTTGTTTCCTGTCTCAATGTTATCTCTTTGTCCTATAATTTCCTAGTTATTTTGCATTTTTGTAACAATGTGTTTCCTCTGTTAGTAAAAATGTAGTTATTTTCTATTTTATTACACACTTAGTTATTTTCTGTTTTAGTAAGAGTGGTTCCTCATCCATCTTCTTCCCATAGAAAGTGATTTTCTCCCTCCTGGGACACCCCAGCCCCTTCCCTCACATGCCTGAGATGCGCCAGCCCTTCTGTGGCTGATGGAGACCCTGGCTCCCTTGTGCCGCACCGGCGCTCCAAGTGAGGGACAAGCATCCCTCCAGGTGGCAGCGCTTAATATCTGCTCATCACAGGCCTGGAGGCAGCAGGCGCCTGGAAGGGGACTATGCTTGCCCTCCAGGTGGGAGAGGCCTGGAACCCTGTCTCTGTGGCTCAGTAAGCAGTGCGGGCATGGGTGGCAGGAAGTGGCCCCAGGGAGAGCCCTGGGAGAGCTCTGAGGGACGGCAGTGGGGTCCAGCCAGGCTCTGAGCAAGGAGAGGGGTTCCTGGTGGACGAGGTAAGCCGAGCTCCCCAGCAGGAGACCTGAGTGTGCAAAGCATGGAAACAGGAGGCTGAGTCAGCAGCTGGGGGTGCAGTGAGTTCTGGGGACTAAGGAGGCATTGTGAAGGGAGGGGTGACTTCAGAGGTGAGCCTGAAATTCAGGCGGCCGGGGCAGTGATAAAGTCCCTGCATACCTTAATGAGAGCTTGGAGCTTCCCCGTAGGAAGTGCCTACCCACCTACCTGCGAGACATTGCCACTTACCTGCCTCCCTGTCTACCACCCACCTGCCTCCCTGTCTCTACCTGCCTGCCCATCCATCCATCCACCCACCCACCCACCCACCTGCCATTCATTTGTCCATTAATCCACATATATGTCTATCCATTCATCCAGCTACCATTCCATTCATCTACCCACCCACCATCCATTCATCTATCCAATTGTTATAACTGTCTCTGACTGTCTCACTCTTTAAGCTGGAGGATGTGGTCCGATTTGGGTTTGAGGCAGCAGGTGTGGGGTGGAGGATGTGGATGGGTGTGATGGAGGCTGGCTGAGAGTCCAGGCCAGAGGTGGTCAGAGCCCAGTGGAGGCGGTGTGGGCGTGCTGACCAGTGGGGGTGGGCAGGGCATGTGAGGGTGCGCTCCCACCTCGGGTGCTTCGTGTGCAGCCCAGTGGCATGGAGGAGGAAGGTCTGGTGCCAGCTGAACCAGCACCTGGAGCTGCCCGTCACTAACTGAAGGTAGTGACCACACCAGCCAGCTCAGTGGGGAGGCGGCACAGCAGGGCATGCGCCAAGCACCACAGCCAGCACAGCGGTGAGGGTGGGGCGTGTCTCTGAAATGTAAGCAGGAGGCCCAAGGGACCCTGTGTGCCAAGTCCTGGAGTCAGGAAAGAGCCACTGTGCCCCTTGTGGCTGGGGATGCCCTTGGTGCTGGGAGCCCGTGGAGGGATGGGACTGCTCTCTACTTATCACCCACAGGCCGGAGGGCCCCTGCTGTTGAGGGTGGAGGAAAGCACGGGGCTTGAGAGAGACCCCACGTCCGAGCAAGGCCGTGATGTGCAGTCCGGAGGGTAGGAGGCCTCGCCAGGGCCCTTGGAGCATGAGCGTCTGTTCAGTGGACATCCGTCACCTTTGTTTTAACAACTATTTTTGCCTCTCTTTCGTGTCCTCTCTTACAGCCCCCACCTTCTGGCCCTTTCACCTCCTCCTTGGGAGGGGCAGGATTCTCAGATGACCCCTTTAAAAGTAAACAGGACACTCCTGCTCTGCCTCCGAAGAAACCCGCTCCTCCACGGCCTAAACCGCCCAGCGGTCAGTAAGCTTTCTTCTCTCGCAGCCGCCGCCTGCCGGTGCAGGATGGCGGGGGACCAGGGCCCCCCTGCTCACCAGCCCAGAGTAGCAGCAGATGCCGCAGGACCCTGTGTGGGGAGCAAGAGGGTCCTCCCGGCCCAGCCGCCCAGGTCCACTCAAGCGCCATGTGTGCGTGGTGTGTGCCTCCCGCCTGCTGGCCCTCGCCCCGTCCTGTGGGCCCCTGGGCGTCTGGCTCTGTATTGGAGTGCACAAAGCCTTGGCCTTAGAGCCACCCTTGTGACTGGGGGCGCTTCGTGCAGCCTCTGCCCGAGCATGTCAGTGCCACCCCGACACCCCGGCTACACTTTAGGAGCCAGTCATGGCCTGTAGCCCTGTGGCCATTCCGGCCTCTTCTCTTCCATCCTTCTCCCCGTCTGTGCTCAAGGAGGACCTCTGGGGGGTGAGGGCAGCAGGAGTCACTTCTTGGTCCAGTCCCTTCCCAGCTGCTTCAGGACTGAGAGTGGAGGGAGCGGGAAATTGTCCTTGGCGGCATCTGATGTGAGGAGGCAGGATGGCTCGGGGCTCCCTTCCGCCCCAGCTCGCCCAGGCATCTAGACGCATGGCTCTGAGGAGGGGGCTTCCTACAGGCCCTGCCCCTCTTCCCCATGGCCGGTGCTACCAATGGCCCTCAAGGATCCCCTGAAGATTCTGAAGCCCTTTAACTCACACGTGGAATTTCTCTCATGTGATAGAGGTAGGCTGGCGGCCAGTTGACCAGACTCTCAAACAGAAAGCTGTTGCTTCAAGTGGCAGAAGGAGTCGCTGCAGCTCCCTCATCCATTTATCTACCGGTCATTGCCTATTCCGTCTGTGCCCCGGTCTGGGATGCCTCCCATTCTCTAGCCTCCAGGCAGTGTTCCCCACACTGTCGAACTGTGGGCAGCCACAGGAGACCCACACACTCCCAGGATCATGCCTTCTGTTACCCGTCTTCCCTGGACAGGGTGTGCCCCCGAACCCTTTCCATCAGCTCCAGCGAGGGAAGCGGTGCTCACCCTCCTGCCTGCACTTGCCCCTCCCCTGGAATCTGCCACTGGCCTCACTTTGCAGCCCCGGTGTCATCGCAGGTCCTGGAATGGACCTAGCAGGCTCCGCGTGCCCCCAGCTCACTAGTTACGAGTGACTCTCGGTCCTGCACATGGGCCACCTGTCAGTAGAGGTGAACATAGGGGAAGTTATTTCTGCAACACCGGCTCTCTCCTCCTGTCCCCTGGGCTGGCCATGGCCTTCTCTCAGGAGGATGGGGACCCAGCCTGCAGTGCCCAGGTTGGCTTTCTCGTGGATGAGTCAGGAGAAAAAGTATGACCAAGTATGGGCTGTGTGGATTTAGAGCAGATTTTCTGTGAACTGTTGAGCAGATACAGATGGGTAAAGAGATCATTTCTGTAAGCCACACATCAAAGACATTTACCATCAAGAGGAGGAAAAACAAAACAACAAAGGGACTCCCTTCCATCTGCAAGAGGCCGCCTGTACCTTACACAGAGGCAGTGGCTCTTCAGGGATCCTTGCTGGCCTCCTGATGGAATGGCAGTGGGCCTCTTCACTTGCCTAAAAGATGGGAGCAGAAGCACACATGTACACACACATATATGCGTAATCACAATGCATGCACACAGCTGGCACACACGCATGTGCACATTCCCACGTGCAGCCATGTATTAATGCATATATGTGCATGCACACATGTACACTCTTGCATGCACTTGTGTACCCTGTGTACACACACATCCTCCACGCCTGCAGACACATGCATGCATGCACCTGTTTGCATGTGAACACACGTGCATACAAGTGAGCATGCCTTCACACACATACTGCGTCACGAGTATTCTCGCATGTGCCTGCATGTACGCGTATACATGCATGCACGCACTCTCCCATGCACCTCCTCCATGCACACTCTCCATGCTTATATGCATCTGTGGACATGTGTGCATATTCACTTGTGAACACACACATGCATTCGCAGAGATGAGCAGCACGCACTCACATACTACATTGTGCATACCTGGACACACACGTGCTCTCATAGATAACAGCTGGGCGTGAGCACCCTCCATGCTTATATATGTGCATGCATTCATTGAGACATGTACATATTCACATGTGAACACATACATGTATACAGGTGAGCAGTACACAGATGGTGAGCAGTACACAGATATTGCATCATGCATGCATGCAAATGTGCACACGCATGCGCACTCTTTGTGCTTACACACATGTACACACATTTGCACATATGTGCATGTATTCTCATATGGGTGCACACACTTGCCGAGCAGTGCCGTATTTGCTGGGCCCTGAGGAGGAGCCATCCCACTCAACAGCTCACAGGTGCAAAGCTTCATTTTCAGTGTTTCATGGAAACCGCCACCCCCGCCTCCCCATGTACCTAAACCCAGCGCTGGGTCTGCCTTTGAACTTTCCCTCAGTTGTCACCTCCCATTGTGTCTCCCCTGCAAGCCTACCCACCCCACCTTGGCTTCTGCTCTTAGTGTGCTGTGGGCTTCGAAAGCAGAAAAGAATGCTTGTTAAAAGTAGAACGTTTGATACCAGGGGTTTGGGTGACTTCCTTGGGCCAGTTTCAGGGTTGAGGCTTTTTAGGGAGCTGTTGCACAATTTGAGACCCAGGGGGTCCTGGGCTCCTTGGCTAGTGGCGCAAGCCACTGCATCTTTGTTCTGCTGTGGTCGATGGTTGCTATGCCCCTCGGCGTTCTGCAGAGATATATTAACTTCGACGGGCCCTTAGGAAGCGCCTGCACAGTTCTTATCGCACTAGGTCCCAGCAAGACCCGTGAGAGAGACAGGCCAGGCCATGCCCATTTCCTGGAAGAGGAAAGGGAGGGGGGAGGTCATGGGGGCTCCCTAAGGTCACGCAGCAAGGTGGCAGCAGGGCCAGGTCTACACCCAGTGACCTGCCTCCTGCCCCAAGATAGGAGTAACGAGAACCAAGCTATGAGCTTCAGAACATTCTCTAAAACAGCAAATGCATGCGCAGCATTTTAAGTCCGGAGCAACTGCAGATCTGTGTGGAGGCCTAAATATTTCTCATTTGATTCTTTTACCCAGAAGCAATGGCTGAACAGAAAAATTCTGCATTGTACACGCTGCTGGGTGGTAGGTACAGACCGTGTGGTGGTTGCCGTTTGAGCTTGCAGCATTATTTGTGCTGTGATTCCGTACTAACCTCTAACAATCAGAACACCGAACACCACAGATGACCCACTGGTTGACCTTTTGATGAGTCATATGTTGGGGAGAAGTGTTTGGCTCTTTGGGGGATTGCGAAGGAAGCTGCTTGCCCTACCCTGGCTCTCTGGTCAAGGGAATCGGAGCCCAGCTCTGCACAATTCCCTTCCCGGTTCCTGGCCACACAGCACAGACCCACGTGCAGCCCAGGAGGCCTCTCTGGTTGTGGGCAAGAGCAGTCAGCAAATGAGTGTCGAGTGAAGTCGTGCTCAGAAAGTTTGCCAGGAATACACAAGGCAGATCTCCTGTTTTCTTGGCTTTAAGACAGGAGATAGTGAATGTAGTCTGTGATTTTTTTATTTTTTTAAGAAAGCATAAAGTCCAACATTTTCAAATTGCTGGACTTCATGTTTTCTTAAAAAAAAAAAAAACAAAAAAAAACACCTTTCTGCCTTTCTTGCTACCCCAGCCTTTTTCTGCTCAGGGAGACCACACGGCCAGCACACAATGATGGCCACCTGCCCCTGGTCACTCCGGGGCTTCCCAGATGCTATGGCTTTGTGTAAGATGCATGGGTCCCAGCATGGCTGAGTGAGGAGGAAGGTGAGATGGGAGCCCCTGTGGGCCTGGCGGTTAAGCTGTGAGCTGGTGGAGACAGACGGACTGACAGAAAGACTGAAGGACCCATAGACTGTCCAGCGAGCAGTCTTAAACATCATGCACACAGCGTGACACCTACACTCATGAAAATCACAGTGAAGGAACAAGCTTTTCTGTCATCTCTCCGCCTGGCAAATGGAACACGTCTGATGTCCCATGCTCTCATCCAGGGTTTGTCCGTCTCAGGGCACCCAGAGGTTTCTAGAGCCCTGCTAGGCCTCTGTACCAGGAAATGGCTGACGTGTGAGGCCAGGACAGGAGAACTGAGGCCGCTTCCTTCTGTCCTCTGGGCGGCCAGTCCTGCTAGAATCCAGCGGACTGCTTGATCAGGCTGGTTTCTGGACGTTGGAGGAAAGGGAGGCCCCAGGTGGGTCTTAACCTCCCTGAGCCCCAGTTTTCCTGCCCGACCATGGGATCCACTCAGGCCTAGCAGGTGGGTGTGTGGGTGAAGCACCTTGCATGGTGATGTGCCGTGTGTGGTCTGTAGCCCCCATCCCCACCCTGGGGCACAGGGACCGGGACACAAGCTTCTGCCATGGGCACCTTTTCCAGGAGAGACAGCCTGGGCAGCTGAGGTAGCTGCACACATTCCGGGAGTTGTTAATGGGGCCCTTTTCTCCCTGTGAGGTCACAGTTTAGTGGAAATCTTTTCCGTTAAAAAAAATCAGCGTGCAGGGAGTTGAACGTCAAAGAGGGCTCCAGGGTCCTCTGTGGGTCATTGCTCATACAGGACCAAATGTGAGTTTGGGTCTGAGTCACGTGTGGCTTTTGGTGCTGTCTCTTGTGTTCTAGAGGCTGCAGTTTTCAAATTCCGTGGGAACTGCTTTTTAAATTTTGTTGAAAGCTCAGTTGTGGTGAAATTGACATTTGGTGTGGCCGACATGTGGTGTGGGTGCACAGGCAGACAGATGTTGACCCGGACAGTCACAGGTGGACCCCTCCACCTGGGAACCTGCAGAGGTTCCTCAAGGGAGAGTTCCGGTCACAGCATACACCTGAGTAGCCCACAGTTGGCCATCTGCTCTCAAGGCCACATACTCAGTTCTGTCTCGATCTAAGCCAGAAAGCATACTCTGGGGGACCACCAAGGGCCATCCCTTGCGGCA